ATCCTACAGTGCACTATTACTATTGCTATCGCTATAAATTTCAAACACTTACATTCACGTAACCATGCTCTTTACTCTACAGAGATCCACATAGATCCAAGAACATGTGCCAAACATACCAGAGTGGGCGCTTAAGGGTCGGGGGGAAGAAGGGTTAACGAGAGTGGGGAGCAAGGAAGAAGTGGGAAAAAAAGGAATAAAAGAAAAGAAAAGAAGGCCTTTCCAGACTATTGGTGAACTCAAATGAAGAACGCATCCCTTCACTTTACATTAGGAAAAAAGTGTGTTGGTCTCTATTGTGTGTTTTGGATAGATTTACTTGAAAGGAAATGACAAGGACAAAATGGAGTTCTTGGAGACTCCCTTTATATCCACAGCACCTAGAATATGATAGGCAGAAAACAAATGCTTGAATGAATGTATAAAACAAAACATACTTGTGTTCACACAGAACTTCTCCTCCTTCATGTCCTGGAGGCTGACAGAACCCTTGGAATGACAGAAGGAATTTCTGAGTACTTACTGGGAGGCATGGGTACCTCTAGGAGATGAGGATGGAGGAAAAGAGGCACATTGGAGCTCGTTTTCCAAACCTTAAGGAGGTTGGTTTCATCTTTGGAGGGAGCTAAGCCTTAAGCAGGGGAAACAACAGGAACAACACACGGGAGATGGAAAAGCACAAAATTAGCCAGTGCGTTGGACTCTGGACTCTACAAAACCCGGAAGATGACTCTGCTTGTTACGGGGTAAGGTACACGGTATGCCAAGCAGTATAATTGATACTCTGTGACATCAGGGTCAAGGGCCAAATCCCAGGCCTAATTGCAAATTTAAGGAGAAAATTACCTTCTGCTATGATATATGGCATGTCAAGGCTAATGGATTCCAGGGTCTGGCTGGGCTCAAGTTCCCAACTGCAAATGCGCACAATGACTCCAATTTTCCCTTCCTACCCCATTCTGTATTTATTGGGTGAGAATGTACCTTTTGACCATTTTATTCATTTTGAAGTAATGAGGCATGTGATGGTGGCAAGTGATCGGAATCAAGCAGCATGTCCAACTCTTTGTTTTAATTTCTGGTAAGTCCTTGGTACCTAATTAATCTCTTCACAGCCCATTCATCCCATAGCAGGAGACTTTCCTATTTGCTGTGTTGTCCCTAGTGGTCTGTTTATAGCAGTAAAACTTTTGGGGTATGTTTTAAGAATCTTATTCTAGGTATTTCTATTCTGACATACAGAGCAAAAGGAGACAGATGGTCATAAGGCAAAGATGAACTTTGGGGTTAAAAGGGTTTGGGATTTAGATTGGCCTCTTGTAGGTAAGGAACCTAAAAAGCAAGATTTTTTTCAGAATTCTCAATGTTCTCCTGCAGTTTGGTGTTCTTGCATATTTTAACACAGAATTACTTCTCATTTCTGATGTCATTTCTTTTCTGAGACATTGTTGTTTACAAATCGATCCCAAAGCAAGAAACACTGTCAGACGTTAATCTGACATAGCATCTTCAGAGAGATGCTGGCTAGGGATACAGCCTGACTTTGTGACTTAGTGAAAAAGTCATGTGGCTATGCCCAAGAATCACCATCATCACCTGACAGACAGAAGCAGGTACCAGGAAAGTGCTGGACATCATACCTGGTAGGAAGGGCCTCTCCCTCAAACTCTCAGAACTCCCCCCCAAATCAGAATCATGAGACATCTGCACATTTTAAGTTTCAAGTCAGGATTCTCAGCTAAACCTTCTAGAAAGACTCCCTGAGAGCAATGAGCAACCAGATCAACAAAGAAAGTTCAACCAGAGTCTTTCAAGTGGAAAAGTCCAGACGAGAACCCTCTTCTTCTCTCCTTCTCTGACTTCTCCAATTCATTCTGCATCATGAAGCCAGAGTGATCTTTTCCAGGAGTATCCTGGATCATGCCGTCCCCTCCCCAACCTTACCTCTGTTTAAAACCTTTCAATATTTCCCTAGGGTTCTTGGTATAAAGATAAAACCCCACTGTGGCTTCCAAGGCCTTCGATGGTCTGGCCCCTATTTATATCTCCAGACCCATTCCATGCCATACAATTTCTGCTGTAGCCACACTGGCCTTCTACACAGCCTGCTAGCTTACACCACAGGACCTTTGCACATGTTTTAACTGACAGGAATGTTCTCTCTCTCATCTTCCACTGCTTCCTACTCATTCTTCAGTTCTCAAGTAAATATCACTTCCTCCAAGAAACCCTCCCTGATCCTCCAGTTAGATCAGATGCCATGACAGTCTTATAGCCCTCTCCACCTGCCTCAGAGCACTTGCCAACTGTAATTTTACGTTCACTGAGTGATGATCTGATGGGTTTTCCCACTGAATCATAAACACTGAGAGGACAGAGACTGTGTCCATCTTGCAAACTGTTGTGCCCACAGTCTCCAGAATAGTCATTTCTTTAATAATTACCTAAATGGGTAAAGGAATGGATGAACCAACCAGGGCCGAAACCCGTTTACACAATTGGGACTGCAGACGTGGAGCAGAAGTGGGAAGGCTGTGTGGACAGAAGATGGCAGGATTATGGATTTAGTAACATGACCTTCAGTCAGACAACAACTACTTCCCAAGCACATCTATCGGGAAATGGAGACATGAATGGGCAGTCACATCAAGTAGCAAGGGCTGGTTACTGAGGCCCCCGTGTGCTGGACACTGTGCTGGGCTTCACGCCATGTCTCCGGAGGCTGATGGTGCGGGTCTGCAGTCGCGCTGGCTTAGAATCTTGGCTCCATCACTTACTAAACTGTTTCCTTAAGCAAAGTACTCAAGTGCCAGAGGCCTTCCATTGCTCATTTGTAAAATGGGAAAATGACAGCATTAACTTCAGACTGTTATTGTGAGGTTTCAATGAACTAAGACACATAAAGCCCTTACAATGGCATTAGGCGCATTGTAAACATTACAAGTCTCATAGCTGTTATTAACATCCTTGTTTCAAGCATAAGGAAACTGGGGTTCAGAAAGATTTGATGACTTTGTTGAAAGACTCACAGTGAGCAAATGGCTAAGTTAGAATTCAACCAGGATGAGGCTCTCTCCAAAGTCTTTCCTCTCTTGACGCTGTTTGGTTTAGGGGCTGAGAGCACTGAGCCCCTAGGCTGAAGGTCTTTGGTGTCAGCAAATAAGCCAGAGTGGGTCAGCTGTGGGGTGAGAGCCAACCCAAGCAGAGGTACAGTTGGGCAGGCAGCCAGCTTCAGAGTTCTGGCCACAGTTGCCCAGATAAAGTCTAAGTTTCTGGGACAGGAGTAGAGCAGGGACCAAGTGATGAGACCAGGAAGCTCCATCAAAACTCACAGTGGCTGGGACCAGTTGGCAAAGTTAGTGTGGGATGAACAAGATGGCTGGTGATACTAGGCCAGGCCTCGGAGATCTGTGGATCGAGACTGGGATTATTCCCAAAGCTTGGGAAGGCACTAGGCTTGCAGGAGGTAGGAATGAGGGAGCCAGCCATGGGAACAGAGTTGTGGGGCCAGCCAGGAGTCACAACAGTGTTGAGGCCCCCTCCTGAGGCATCAAGCCAGGTGTGGGGGTGTGGGGGGTCAGATAGTGGCAGGAGGAGTGTGATCCTAATGCGCCACATTGGAGCTGGACATGCATTTTCCTGCAGAAGCATAGTTATGCATGGCGTTGCGGTCTACAGTGCAGTGTTTGAAGTCCTACAATATAGGACTTCCTGGATCTCCCAGTATAAAACCAATTTCAGTATTCTGCTTTGTTCTTTTGTTGTGGTAAGAACCTCTGTACTTGCCAAATCATGGATCTCAATTTGGGGTTCAGAAAATATGGCCCCTATAACTATAGTTCAGCTCGATTATGAATTAAACCAGCTCTTGTGGACTCAAACTGGGAGTCTAATTCCTATTTCTATTTCCTGTGGGAAAATTCATCCCAAGTTCCAAGGAACTTTTGGAATGGAACCCACTTGTAGGTTGGGCACTGCCTACCCAGTGGAAAAATCCATTTGCTGATTATTAAGTTCAACGATAATGATATCGTGTTCCTCCTCGACATTATTCCACATTCCCTTCAGCCACAAGAGATGGTATTTTAACAAAAACCAGAAATACTGAAAACTGTGGCTTGACAAGAAACCCAGGGTCCCTTCAACAACATATCAATTAAAGGAAGAGAGCTTGCCATTTTCTGACTGAAAGCTCGTGGTTCTTGAGAACATAGCAAGGTTAATGGGGGTCATCCTGCTTGGGGACACATCCTGAGTGGGGACATATCCTTACAAGTGCCAGCCCACCAGGCCGGCTAATGCATGAGGACTGGAGGCATCTTGCCTGCACTTCGGGAGGACCTCACTTGAACTCTCTCTCAGCTGCCTTCTGCTTGGCTTCTGCCTTCTTTTCTGGGGGGAAGGCAACTGCCTTTTGATTAAGCCGTACATTCTAGATTTTTTGTTGCCTGCGAACAAGATCCTTCCCTCTCTCTCCCTTCTCCCTCTCCCCTTCCATCTCACGGTATTACCTCTGGCCTTGGTCCCAGCACTTTATATCCACGCAGCACCACACCAAACCATGGATAACCAGGGCCACAAGAACCCAGATGGCCTTGAGTTTTAACATCTCACATTCTGCTGGTTTGTGTATAGTCATTTCTCCCCATTAACAAAGAGCTTTGTTTCACTTTTTTGCACGAATGATATCAAAACAAGAATGAGGAAACAAAACAATAACAAAAATCTATAAATTGTGCTATCCCTTGGAAGATCTACATTCCTGAGTCCTTGCCCAATGGCAGACGTGCTTTACCACTGATCTGCTCAGTTCTGCATCTGTCACTCAGTGATGGAGCCCTCATCAGACACAAGGCTATAACCTGGCACACGAAGATGAATCACTTTTATCCCAGAAGGAGTTCAGTCTGCAAAGCTTATAATCAGTATGGATGTTGGATTTCATTCAACTTTAATGAGGAAAATTGAATAGATTATTTCCCAGTGGAACTTATATGAAGTAGGCAAGTGGATAGCAGCTGTGTTCTTTGCTAGTTCCTTAAGGACACTGAGTGGAGTATTTCGATTCTAGAAGTGATATAAAACAGATTTCAGTTGACTATCTCCAAACTGGGTTCCTGGCCCTGAATTACCAAAGTAAAATCCTAATTCCTAATACACTGGGAACCCTAACTTTCAACCTCCTTGCATTAGCTGGCATGCCACACTTTAGTTACATGTGGATTTATAGCTGTTCTTAAATGGCTAAAATACACAAAATGCTGTTTGTTTCTACTTGAGGATCTCTGAGAACCTCCCAGTCAAAAATATACATCAATGGTGCTTATTATCTTATTATCTTAATGAAATCCAAAGTAATCACTTTCTTTATTTTACAGGTGGCAGGACATGTTATATGAGAGATTAAAAAAAAAATGGGCAGCTTAGTTTGGGCAGTATATTCTAAAGATACTGACAGGAACAGAAGACCTTACAGAAAATCAAATGTTTTCTGCCACATGACTTCCTTATTTTAGATTTTTTTCTATTCTAGACCATTTTTGTTCCTAATTCTGCTACAGAATTTTTTTCTTCAAGATTTATTTATTTGAAAAAGAGAGACAGCGAGAGAGCACGAGGGGGGAGGAGCAGTGGGAAAGAAACTTCAAGCTGACTCCCCGCTGAGCACAGAGCCTGATGTGGGGTTCAATTCCACGACCCATGAGATCATGCCCTGAGCCGAAACCACGAGTTGGCTGCTTAACCAACTGAGCCACTCAGGTGCCCCAGAAATTTTTTCTTCTATAGGGATTTCTCTTCCACAGGAATTTCTCAATAAATATCGAGAGAAAAGAGGCAGATGCTTCTGAAGACTTCTCTTTTCCTTCCATCCAGGAGTGTCTCTGAGACACAGATGACCCTGTGACTAGCAGCAGCGTGACCACAGCTTCCTGTGCAGGTATCTTTTGCACTCCTGATCTGGAGGGCAAGATGAAAACTTTCACTCATTTTAACTTAAGCTGAAATTACAGACAATCTTTGAGTTTCTTGGAACTAAATACTTAACTTTCAAGAAGCTGGATAAGCAACTTTGTCATAACCTTACCAATTCCATAAAGAAGAAACAATGCCAGCATTATAGCTAATCTAATCAGCAAACACAGCTAGAAAGTAGCAGAATAGTGTGTGGTCATTAGAAATAAGAGAATATTTTAGCCATTCTGCTTAGCTCTTGGGTTTACTTAAACCCTTGGCTCAATGGAAAGAATTTCCCTATATTAACATCTGCTTTATTTTAATTTTTTTAATGTAAAATTCTAAGTTGGCCAGGCTTATTCCTTTATGCATTCATTCACTGTTACAGGCAACAACTCTATCGCGTACCTACAATTTGCTAACCAGAGTGCTAGGCACTGGGGATATAACAGTGTAAAGTTAGCACAGGCCTTTGCTTTCCCAGAGCTTACATTTTAGTGGGAGACCGGTGGTGGACAAAAAGTAAATGAATACTGAGATATTAGAGAGTAATAGGGGCTTTGTATGGATTTGAAACAGGTACTGTGGTAAAGACAAACTAAACTGGGGAGTCAAAAAAGGCCTTTCTGGGGCACCTGGGTGGCTCAGTCAGTTAAGTGCCTGCCTTCAGCTCAGGTCATGATCCCGGAGTCCGGGGATTGAGTCCCAAGTCGGGTCAGGCTCCCTGCTCAGCGGGGAGCCTGCTTCTCCCTCTGCCCTCCCCCCGTTTGTTCTCATTCTCCTCTCTCTCTCAAATAAAAACATAAAATCTTTTTTTTTTTAAAGGTCTTTCTGAGGAAAGACATTTAAATTAGGATGTAAATGGCAAGAAGGAACCAGCCATCAAGGGTCAGGACACCATTTGTGGCAGCATGAAGAGCACACACGAAAGTCACTGTAATCCTCCGAGGAAATGACCGAGGTCCAAAGGCAGTGTATTCAGAGGCAGCACAGAGGAGCGTCTACACTCCAGAGCCATACTCAGGCACTTGAAACCCAGTTCTACCACCAGGATTCAAGCACCTCGGAGTACGTTCCCTAACTCCTATGAGGGTTTTGTCAGTGCCTTTGTTTCCTTGTTGGTAAAATATGGATAATGATAGCTTCCCACTCACAGCGCTGTTGCAAGGTTTAAAGGGATTCATATATGTTACAATAATGCCCAATACATACTAAGTGTGATATAAGGGATGGTCACTATTATTAGATTTAAAAGTGCCAAGTATATACAATCATGTTCATACCTGCATTATTCACAATAGCTAAAAGGTGTAAGCAACCCAGATGTTTACAGATGGATAAATGGATAGACAAAATGTGGTCTATCCACACAGTGGAATGTTATCCAGCCTTAAAAAGGAAGGACATTCTGATAGGTGCCACCACATGGAGGACATTATGCTGTATGAAACAATCCAGTCACAAATATTGTATGATTTCACCTAATATGGGGTGTCTAGAGTGGGCAAATTCACAGAGACAGAGGGTAGAATGGTGGTTGCCAGGGGCTGGGGGAGGGGAGGATGAGGACTTAGTGTTTACTGGGGGCAGAGTTTCAGGTTGGGAAGATGAGAAAGTTCTGGAGACAGACGGTGGCGATGTTGTCTGACAATGTGGATGGATATACCTAACATTACTGAACTAGACGTTTAAAAATGGCTATGATAGTAAATTCAATGTTATGTGTATTATACCACAACTTTTTTAAAAAGTGCTAAATACAAAGTACAATATACGATCAGATCAGGGTAGAGGCGGAGTAGCAGCTATGCAGTAGCGAAGGTTACTGGGACATGAGAAGTTGTACATCTCCAAGAGTTTCCACTCACACCTCAGTCTACATGGCTGGCACCCCAGACGTGTTCAGCTCACAGCCTACCTGGATATTCATGGTGACCATGGATGGAATTTTTGTTCAAGACTATTTCCCTTCCCACACTTCCCTGATGTGCTAGTCAAGGTTCTTGTTGCAAGCAACAGAAATTGGCAGGAGAGGAGTTTATTTAAAGGATATTATATGGGTGGGCTTGAGAAATAGGCTCGAGAAATAGGCTCAAGGCTAAACTTCCAGGAAGAGACCCCAGATCATGCTGCTATACAGGACTGCTTGGAAAACAGGGCCACTGATGTCACTGAGCCCTAAATTCTACCATTTACACTGTTGTAGCCGTAACTACCACTGCCATCAGCACCAATGTCACTTGTAGGTGGGACAGCCTCTACCCTCCCCCCCAAAGAACTACATGCCTCGGCTGTCACTCACCAGCAAGGATAAATTCCATGTGGAACTTCCTGTTCCAGATTTCTTACTTGTACATCGAATAGGACTGATGGGTGAAAGTCACCTGCCTGTGCCTTACTTGATATGGCAAAGCGAGTTCTTGAGTTTCTCTTAGGGTCATAGGATTCATAAATCTGGAAATTTTACAGAATAGCAAAGGTAAAAAGTATAGGGCAGCCAGAATCTTAACAAACATCCACTATAGTCCACTCCCTAGCCTTCCAGCATCAACATACACTCTTCCGCCACGAAACTTAACAACCATACATGATTTAGAAAAATGACTAAAAAGTTCCCATCATTGTCTTGGGTGGAAAACCTGATGTCATCAAAATATCAATGATCCTTAAATCAACCTCTAAACTTAAGGAGAGAAGAACTAATGGGGCCAATGTTGGGCAGGTTCAGTTTGAAATGCTAAAGGGGAAGTCAAATCTAGAATCCAGGAGATGGTCTGGTTTGGAAATGTGAATGGAGGAGTCATTTGTACATTATGTTTGTATGTTTGTACATGTTTGCTGTCGGACACGATTGCCGAGGGTGAAATCTTGGGCAACACTTCATGGAAGAGGTAAAAGGAAAGGAGCCAACAGGGGATGCTGAGGAGGAGACTGGGGGAAGAACGAGGGTAATGAGGCCAGTGGAGCAGCCAAGAGCATCACAGGCATGGAGGGGTGCAGAGCCTGGGAAAGAGAAGAGCCTCGAGTCTCTGGTGATGTTCCAGAACATAGCTTCAACCAAACCATGGGTGCAAGCCAGAATTCAGTGGACTAAGTGGTGCATGAGTAGGAGGCACAGAGGGGAGGGAGCCAAGTCTACACAACCCTGTTATGAAGTTTGTCTCTAAAGGGAAGGGGAGGGATGTGGCAGAAGCCCTTATATAACAGAGTGGCTGATGTTCAGCCCCCACATGAGTACACACTGTGGAGATCAACCCATCTAGGGTTCAATGTGAACATTAATCATCCATGTGCCCAGTTCAGACATACACTTGGTTTCTCATTTATCTTTCTGCAAAGGCTCCATTGAGTTTATTCAGGCATAAAGATTCTAGAGACCATTTCAATTTAGAACAGTTTGGCAAATGGGTACTTAAGTAGAGACAATGGTTTTGGCAGTGATTTGGGGGCTTTAAAAAATAAATTTGCACCAGTAACTCAAGATATTTTTGTTTTGTTTTTCTAGGGTGAGTAGAAGCCATTTCTAAGAAAACATTTACTCTGTGACAGAGAATAACTTACATACTTGTGTGTTCGATTTTGTAGTTTCTCCAGTTCATTCTTACTTAATATCCTTGACTGGATATGTGCACTTCTTCTATTTTTCTATACAAATTGGGAAAAGGGCATATGAATTGAATTATTAATATAGTAAGCACATGTTCCATATTTATGCCAAAAAAACCAGCAATGGCATGCTGTCACCAGCTGCAGATCCTGATTTCTTTACGTCCTCCAGCTACTGGAGCACCCAGGGACAGCTGTCATAAAGTGCACGTGGGGAGAATTCCCTTACTCCAAAATTCTTTAAAGTCTTGCAGTATTAGAACTTTTGCCAACATACAAACAGAGCTTATGTGCTTCCAGAAAGATAGCAAAGTGGGTGACAATGCCAAGAGCCTCCTCCTCACTAAATGCTATGACATATGGAAGCAGAAAAAGTTTTAGCAGCAAAAATGGCAGTGATGAATAGGAAATCTGACCTGACCCATGCTGGGTAGGTTTGTCTAAATTCGCAGTGCAGAGATGACAAGAACAAGTTCCAGATCACAGAGGGCTGAATCCGACCAAGGTTCACATCTGTGAGGGCCTGTTTTCCCTAGTTCTGCCTCAGAGAAGCAAGAGCAAGGTACTTAATTCCTAAGCCTTTGCCTCCTCATCTGTCTATTATGGATAATCAGACCCACTTCACAGATTTCTTAGAGGAGGACTGAACATGTCAGTGCAGAGGGAGTCTCACTTCCATGCCGTGCACCGATGATGGTGGTGGCATCATTATTATTCCACTTTAGTTACATCCACTATAGTTCACCGTAGCAGGCTGAGCTCCAGCTAGTTTCTGTGCCAGGCCCAACAGTGTGTGGCTTCCTGCTCTTTGGTCTTGCCACTCTCCATTCCAATGTGTCTAGAATGAGTTCTAGGCTCCTCTGAGTCTCCTGGGACATAGACTTCCCTTCTGTAAAGGAATAATACTGTCATGTTCAATCAGCTTATGACAGAGCTAAGGCATCAGTTTTTTTTTTAATAATTTTTAAATTTTCATCTTTTTTAGAAGATTTTTTATTTTAGAGAGAGAGAGAGAATGTTGGGAGGGCAGAGGGAGAGAGAGAGAGAAGCAGACTCCCTGCTGAGCAGGAAGCCCAATGTGGGGCTTGGTCCCAGGATCCTGGGATCACAACCTGAGCCAAAGGCAGACGCCTAGCCTACTGAGCCATCCAGGTGCCCAAGGCATCAGTTTTCTGAGCACCTCCAGTTCCCCTGATTACATGAAAGCCCTTCCCTGAACCATAAGTGTATTGGTCAGGGTTCTTAGAGAAATAGACCAATAGGATGTATACAGAGATGTAAATATAAAGAAAATATATAAAGGAATGGGCTTATGCGACTACAGAAGCTGACGAGTTCCAAAATCTGCAGGGTCATTCCTTTGGCCCCTGATTTGGTAAGCTGGAGACCCAGGAGAGCTGATGGACTAGTTGCAGTCTGAGTCCAAAGGCCTGAGAACCAGGAGAGGTAAGGATGTAGTTCTAGTTCAAAGGCTGGCAAGTTTGAGCCCCAGGATGAGCCAGTGTTTCAGTTTGAGTTCAAAGACAGAAAAAAAAATTGATGTCCCAATTCAAAGGCTGTTAGGCAGGAGGAATTCTCTCTTACACTAGGGAAGATCTGTCTTTTTGTTCTGCTCAAGCCTTCAACTGATTGGTTGAGGCCCACCCACCTTAGGAAGGACAATCTGCTTTGCTCTGTCTACCAACTGAAATATTAATCCCATTTAGAAAAACTCTCTCACACCCACACCCAGAATAATGTTTGAGCAAACATCTGAACACCCTGTAGCCCGGTCAAGTTGACAAAATTTACCATCACAATAAGCATAAAATCCCAAGGCTCAGGCCTAGGCTAATCAGTAAGATTCCACTGGTTAAAGGCAGACACATGACAAACCACTAATGAAGCAGACCAGATAAGTCATATACTGTGGACTTCTGGGAAAGGACATCCTTTTCTCTTTTCCTTTCAATGGGATGCCTAGAGCTGCTATAGTTATTCACCATCCTGAGGGAAGTCAGCATAAGAAGCCCAGAGTGGGCCAGGAGAGTCTCAGAGGAAAGTTGTGGCCCTGATCAAGCTATATGTAAAGTCTGATTACCTTGGGACATTTGCAAGCAGAGCCATCCTCTACTGTGAGACCCAATTTAGTTGGGTTTTCCGGAACGTGCAACATGAAGTCTAACTGGTCATTTACTCCAACACTAGGACCATTTTTGTCAGCAATCTGGGCCCTGCTCCTGAGCTCTGTCCCTGTATAAGCAGTCAGTATCTGGGACAATGTCCGAGCTAAATTATGTACTGGACCTGGAAAGTCTCCCTCAAATGTCACCCCTGCCTAGTCTTACCAGAATGACCTCTCTACCCTGCCCCACCAAATCTCAAGCAGACAGGAATGCTGTCCCAGAGTGAGGCCCCATTTGGAACATTCCTTTGGCCCCTGAGATTTGAACTGTGCATCACCTTTTGGGGAGCAGCCCCTCCACCCTGCCCATTCCCAACATTCTCCCTTTTGCAATAGCCAGTGCCATCTGGTCATGGATTATGACAAAATGGTAGAAAGAATTATTGCATCAGTAATATAACAGGAAAAACAAAATAAATTATCAAAGGCAGAATAATTATTGCTGGCAAGTATAATTGTTGAAGCAAAAACTGTATTTGATTAAATCAGCAGCTTTTTCTATCCCCAAATTCTTTCCCTGAGAAAAGAAACAGGAGGTAGTTGGTGAAAGAAGAGGTTGCCTGCCATGTTGCTAATTTCAAAAGAAATATTAGCCTTAACTTCCCATACTAATGACTTTCCAATTTCATATTTATTACCGATATGTCACCCGTGAATTTACTTACGTAACCTTCTTCCATCTACTTACGTTTTTGACCTACACGAAGATTTAGGCTTAATATTGGGTATTTCTTTATAATTTGTTTTTTATTGAGCCACTTGATTTTGATGCTCTGAAGTTTAATGAATAAATTCTTATTTGACCTAATCATACTACTGCTCAATTTACAGACAGTATTTATAACTCAAAAAGAAAAAAAAAAAAGCATGAAGCAAGAGTCAGAGATCTAGGATTGGTGGGATTTCCAGGTGTTTGCTGCCTGGATTCTGGTATTTACTCATGAAGGTCATAACAGAATTAAATTCTGCCCAGGGATGAGAAAAGTGTTAAGACTTAGAGGTTTGGACTGGGGAGTCTGTATAACCGACTGGGAGGGGACAGAAAGATGTACAACCAATTCCATCTGCTTCCAGTGGAGCCCTGAACTCTTATCTTCAGGATGGCATGGAATAAATCCACTGAGCACTAGGTTTACAAGGTGAATGGAGGCTGCTTTAGCTAGAATCTTGCAAATGGCAACCCTAGGCCTCTTCTTGGTTTGGTCTGTCCCTTCCCAGGCCAAGGTACCATGACTGCTGGCCAGGTCTAGCCTAAGTTTCTAGCCTGAGTTTCTGAATCTGGCTTCAGCAAAGATAGGGTACAACCCTTCTTCCTGACCCTAAGGTATAGTGGATATGGGAGAAGGAGCCGCCCTACTTGAGTGGGCTTCAGGGAAGCTGTGTTCTCGAGTGACAGTTCCTGAGGGTTCAGTTCAGGCAAGGAGGTAGAGTAAGATTTAGTGATGATGCAGGGGAGTGTGTTTTCCTGCAATGAGAATTCCAGAGGGTAGGGCAGAAATGTTTGAGCAAGAGTCAGCTGGGGCCTTTGGGCCAGGGGAGAGGGAGCCCAGATCAGCTTGGGGTCAAGAGAAGTGGATGGTGGTTGCCTGGAGGGCCTTATAACTTGGGCATGGATCAAGAATTACAATAATTCACTCATCCGTCCTATGAATATTTATTGAGTGTGCTCTCTGTGCCAGATGGTGGTTTGGCAATGAGAATACAGACGTGAATAACACAAAGTCCCCGCCATGTGGAGTGCATCTTCTAGTGGGCCAGACATCGGGCTATGGGGAAGCGCTGTGAGGAAGCATCAGGCAGGTCAGGGAACTGACGGGGACAGAGGCTGCTTTCTTAGGTAAGGTGGTCGGGAAAGGCCTGTCTGAAGGATGACATTGAGCAGAGAGCTGAAGGGAGCAGGGAGGGCCAAGCCATGGAGGCTACCGGCAGAGGCCATGGCAGCCATATGGTATGTGGAGGAAGGCTTCCAGAACAGAGGGGCCGAAACACAGCGGGAGGGGAGGGAAAGGGGAAGCAGGCGTGAAGGGCCGAGCAGGCAAGCTCTGAGAGGTCCTGGCCTGGTCTTTGAACTTTATTCCCAGTGGACACCAGGCCAGCTCACCTTGAGTGAGTTTAAGTGTCATGATCTGCTGTTACACCACAGACCCGCGGTGTGAGGGGTTCGGCTGGCCTCAGGCTGTCTGTCTGGAGCGCTAGTCCTATCAGCACGCAGGAAGACAAGCGTGGCTCAGGCCTCTCAGGAGCAGCCGCATGCAGGAGCGGGGTTTTTTCCTGCTTGAAAAGTGAGTTGGCAGAAGCCAAAGGTGGTCTCTGGCTCCCAAGACTTACCAAATACAGGAAACAGAAGCAACTCCCGGTGAGGGGACTGTGGTCTCTAAAAACAGTCAGCCTCACCGAGACAGGCGTGGCCTCTCTGGAAGAGGCACACACGGCCTACCCGTTCCAGGCCACCGGCGGGAAGCTCGCGGCAGCGGGGGGAGGAGGGTCCTCTGCGCCTGCGGGGCCTGAGCTCCCGGATGGAAGGGCACGGAGGCGGGGCTAACCAGGAGGGCCGGGCACTGTCACCGGGCAGGACCGGAAGCGTAGTCCGAACAGCAGCGACAACTAGAGCACCGTCTGCAACAGCCTCCAGAGTAAGACCTATACAAAATCAACGTGTAGAAATTCTGATTCTTCCCTCACTTAATCCTCCTGAGGGACTCGGAGATGGACAGGACAGCAAATGACACAGGGAAAGGTGCGCACGTGCGCACCGCGCCCGCCGGTCCCCTACAAGTACCATACCCGTCCTGCGCTGGATCCCGTTACTGCGCTCCACCCAGACACTCGAGCCTCAGATTTGTAAAGCCGTGGAAACTTAGAACTGGATAG